CCCTCCGTTACTTAGATTCTATACCTGGAAAATAATAACAAATTTATAAATATTCCATAAATAAAATCTAATTATTGGGAGGTCATCTTAAATTTAGGGTAATCTTAGATTCAAGGAAATATGGTGTTTACATTTTTTGCAGGAATAATTGGTTTTAAAAATGGGACCTGGGATCCCTTGATTCTTGCTTTTTAACTTCTACATCAATTTAATAAACACACACAAAATATACTAACAGCCTTATTTCAGCAATTCAGAAAGTTTACAAATAAGAGGGATAGAATCAGTTAAGATGCACTAAACACTATGCACATATTGCCAATAAGATTTGCATTAATATAACTGAAGAGTGCCTGTTTAATAAATGTACATGTCTGCATGGCTACTCAATCATTGGGTATAGACCCTGCAAATTTACCCTTTAGCCATGTTTAGTTTTTCAATGTCTGATTTTCTGAATTACAACCTGAGAAAATATTCTACTGACCCTTTGTAAAGTAAGTCAGTAAGCACAGAACAATTCTGGCTCTGAGATGCCTAGTTTTGACTGGAAATGTATTACCATTTCCATTTACTAAAAGCCCTACAACATTCTTGAAAAAATTGTATTTTCTGTACAAAATAATCATTTTTTCACTCAAAATTAAAAAAAAAAATAGCACAAATAAAATAAATCCTTTGAAAAATGTTATCATCCTCTCAATAATTACTATTTGAACTCTGCTGTCAAGCGGGAAAGTGGGCTCCAAAGCAAAATGTCCTGCCATCAGCCTTAATCCATGTAATCTTTAGCTTTTTCTGCTCGTGGTTTCTGTAGTCTTGCACAAGTCATGTAGTCTATAAGGCAGCCAGAAGCAAACCATTTGGAGCTAAATTTAAATTGCCACCTATACTTTATCCAGAAACAGGCTGGAAGTCAGTTCGTACTATGTAGCTCAGGCAAAACTTTTTGCAAAAAGGACTATTCACTTAAAATAAAGACTTGCATCATCTATGTAGAGAATTCACAGGTTGTGTTGGCAAGTGATCACTGGCATCAGCTTTCTTAAGAGAGAGATAGCAATATCATACAGATACTGACGGAGTGAGGAGACTGTAAGATTCTTCAAGACCCTAATCTAGACTCATACAAGGTTTATGTATCTAGGAAATGTATGTACTTACAGTACTTGAAGCGTGAATGTGACCAAGACCTGGCATACTTCAGTATCAAATCTGACTCTTCATAATGGTGGAAAAGCCTTAATTGTTCTAATTTTTGTCCCCATTTAAAAACTGGGCTTTGTTACATTGGGTGCTCTACAAACTTGAGGGGAATGAACCAGAAGATTGAAAAAGCTGTAAGTCTACCACTATAAAAAAATCCCTCAAAATTCTTCTCTAGAAAAAATGAAGCGGTCTTCACTCGCATAGTACTTCCTTGCTCTCTACTATTAACTACTGAATGTTTCTGACTAGATGTGGTCACCCCATTCCCAGCTGAATTATCTAAATTTTTGCCTTGAATCACATTACATACTCGTGTTACATACCAATCAGTCTGGCATGTTAACTAACTATGACATCCTTGAATAGTGCAGTTAATTGAAAACAGATGTTTGTAACTCTATGAAAAGGTAAAACTCTATAAACTAATGACATCATTTGTAATCTCCCAGAATAAAATCTAGTCATTCAGTATTCTGGCATCTATGCAATATGTTTCCAGTAAGCTTGCATTGATTTTATTTTTGTAATTTAAAATGCCGGATGAGGTGCAGCTTTCCATTGTTAAGTAAAATGTTCATTTTTCAAAGTCTGCACTTCAGAATTCTGCTACATCCCTTATCCTGTTTGAATTACTCACATTAAGTATATGATCCCTGTTCTGGCATACTTTGCAGGTACAGCTTCAAAGTGTCATGTCCTGAAAGAAGGAGTTCTTCCTCCATCTGTCTCCCATAGGATCAGCCTTCTACTGAATAGCTTGTAGGAATGGAGTTTTTTTTCACATAATCCTTCATAGCATGCAGATAAAGTGAAAATGGATAAATGAGTCTTTGTAGGGTTGATTTAGAGAATAAAATTTAGGACAGAATAGATCAGTTGTATATTGCACAATTAGTAAGCGGTGAACTAAACAGAACTAAAAATCACATGTTCACTAGTTGAGTTGGATAAGAAAGGGAATATCTACTAAACCAGGTGTTTCACCCAGCGACAGTTAAATACCAAAAAGGCTTTTACATAAAATGAAAACTGGATGCTTATCTTGCTGGGATCCTATGACCCCAGCTGACTTCCTGCCCTTTGGGCGGGGGGCTGGACTCGATGATCTTCCGAGGTCCCTTCCAGCCCTGACGTCTATGAAATCTATGAAAATATCATGGGTGGTGAGCCAGGGACTTAATATTTTTGTGATTTTTTTTATTTATTTTTTTGCTTTGGAAATGAGTTATTTCCTAACGTTCATTTGCATTAAGAGGACCCTGCTATTTCCCTTAATGAGGGAGGTCACTACATTTCTGTTAAGCCTCATGCCTATTATGTATATTCCTGTCACTGACAGAAGACTGGTTATTTAACTGGTTTCTTATAAGCTAAGCTTTTCGAACCATTCTGAAAGCTATCTTTCTATTCTGTTACATAGGTCTTTACAAGTATAGCAGTATAGAAAATTGTGGGATAATATTTAGCTCTTGCAATATCTCAAATCATTCCTTAGAAGTGAGAAAGCAGAAGTTATGTACTGTATTGGAAGAAAGGAAAGTCCCTTGGAGGATAGATCTGGAAGTGTCATCACAATACCTAACTGCACTTCTTGCAGGTTGTTTCCTTATTATACTTGTGGTGTTCTTTAAAGTAACATGCCTCCTTGAACAAATGCAGTATATAAGATGAAAATGTTGTTCTCCTGTTAGTTAGACATTCATCAATGTGCTTATAAAACAGTGTCTTTGACTTTCATTCTTGAAAAGTGTGATTTTTATTTGCTTATTCATATCTGCTAAGCTAAGGGATGGGATAGGGAAGTTTTTTACTTCTGTAAATGGAGTGATGGTGTATGTCATTTCATTATCACACTATATTTCTGCTATCTTTAAAATTATATTAAGTTAGAAAATACGGTTGGGTTTTTTCATAAGGAATAACAAAAGGACTTGGAAATGCCAATGTAATGGATTCTGAGGATTTAGGAAGGCTTTCTCTTTCTTGGGCTAACTGCCTTGCACTGCTACTTGTGGCAAATATAGTATTGACAGTAAAAGAGGTCAAATGGAGAGGAGAGTCCTTGGTTGTTCAAAAAAAAGTAAGTTGCACTCTATTTGTAGACGACATATATTTCAAAATACTGAGCTCTGAGAGCCTACAGAAGAGCAATAGCTACCATCTTACAGAAATCATCCCTGTCCCTTCCCTTTGTGATTCAGTAACTTAACCGTGATCATGTTGTTTCAAATCTGTGATGCTAGCAGTCTTCTAACTAGGCACAAAAGTACTTTTGTTTTGCCAGAGTTTCTTTTCCTGAACCCTTCTTTTGTGCTAAGAAGTGTCTTTTATTTCTTAACTGCTGGTTGTCACTTTATCTTTTTAAAATGCTGCACTTGGTTTTGTTAAAATCCAAATGCAATATATTACTTTCCCATCTTTGGAACAGAAATAGCAGATGGTCCAATATTGTCATCTTTGTAATTTATTGTTGCTGAGGATTACAATGTTCTCATCTCACCAGAATATGTAAGTAATAGCTCCCGAATAGCATTTTTGAAAGTATTATGTGTCTGGTTACATTTGCCTGCCAGTCCTGCTTCAGTATGATTTCAACAGAACTTCTCCTGGCTCCAAAATTGCAGGATCTGATCATAAATACTGTATGTAAATGTCCAGAGATATAGGTAGCAACAGAAATTGAATTAATTTCATTGTTTGTAAAGATTCAGTACATCTAATTGCATTAACATTTTCCTAACTTATCTTAAGTCACATCAAGAACCTGATAACAGTTAGAATACCAGCAGTTATGAATCTGTCCCTGTCACTTATTCTTGTTGGTACTCTAACATTGCTCCTTTGTGTTCATTCCAGTTTCCCTTCCCTGTTCCATTGTTAAAGCCTTCGTATGATATATCACTGTGTTTTCCTCTAGTAAGGTCTGGCAGGAAAGGACGACGGCGGGTGTTTAGTCTGTCGGAGGCTGACAGTCACGGTGGACACTGGGTTTAGGTCTTCAAGCAGCAGCTGCAACCGCAACTCACGCAATATCAATTCAGGCAGGTTCCTCCATAAGATTTCAAAGCCCACAACCTTTAATAGAACACAGCCATGATCTATTTCCATACTAACAGCAATGACTTTACTACTACAAGCATGACATACAGAACCTAAAACATTATTCATTCAAATACCTTAACTATTTGGCTATATCTGAGGGCATGCTATGTAGGCACAGCAATGACCTGCTTCCAAAAGGCTTTCACTGGCAGACTGAGGCAAAACAAGCATGTATTGCCAAAAGTAAAATTCCTTCTTGCGCAGAGAGGATATATCAAGTCTCTGCCTCTAGAGCAGCTGTGGCTCCAGTGGAATTCAGTAAGCTTTGATCTCTAGATTGGCTTGAAGGTAAAAAGCGAGCCAGCAGCAAGAAGCTAAGCTTCAGCTCAGATGGAACAGAGAAACATTGAACTTAACTCTCTGGGAATTGTCCATTCAACTTTGTTTGAAAATCTTCAAGTCCTGGTCAGATGTTGTTGTTATGGAATTATTTCTTCTGGCTTGGTTTCATCCAGATAATTAAATATTTGATACGAAAAAGGAAGAAAATGGTCCTCAGAACATTGGCCATTTCCAAAACAAAGCTATATTTAAATTGGACCAGGCCAAATCAGCCTTTTGCTAGTAATGGAGTGAAAAATAAAAAATGTTGCTATTGTGTAAGCAACTTTGCTCATTTTAGCTAATGTATTAGGACTCTTTTCACATAGTGTCCTAGTTGTGCTGTAGTTGTTTTTTATTTTTGTTCTCCTGTAGTGTGGTGCTGCATGATTTAAGAGATTTTCCTTTAGACTGCATTAGACTGTTCCCTTGCTCTGCTCCTGTTGGTTTCCTTTTTCCAGTAACCACTTTAGTACACTTCTGTTGTTGCAAAGTTGATCTGAGTGGTATCCTACAATGGTTGATCAAACCCAGGGCTGCCGAGCACTTCATCTTTCCACTAAACCTCATGGAAATTAAGATCACCCAACACCTTGCAGGATTCAGCCCTTGTCTGGAAACCATAATCACAAGTTTTGTAAATGCATGAGAATTAAAATTGCTATATAATTTTTTTTTAAGTATTTCCCCCATCTTAGCACAGCACACTCAGATTCAGGAGTGTGGTATACCTCGGCAACTGTTGAACTAGCTCAGCAAAAAAGAAGTCCCCAAAATGGAACAGAATCTTTTGCATGTGGAAAAACTGATTAATATTTTCCCATGCTTATTTGGAAATGTCACATAACATGAGATGAATCTTTCTTTAAAGATACCTTGATACTCTCTGGCATCTTAATTGGTAACTAGACTTAGAGACCTGATAGAAACTTGACATACAAGAAAGGAATTCTTGTCAGATATCTTCAAAGAAACAATATACTCTATTTCTGAGGCCCCCTCTACATGTCTAGCTAAAAGCACAATGGGATCAAATGTGCAATTCACACAATTGCACCTTTTGCCATGCCGTGTGTGCCTAGCAGTAGATGCAATTGTGGGATAGCACATTAGGTCCAATTGTGCTTTATGGCTGGTGCAAGGGAAGTTCAGTCCTGGGTTCCCCCTACACTGGCAAGCTTCCACAGCTGGGAGCCCCATACACCCCAGTTGAAGGGTTCACAGCCATGGTGGGTCCCCATGCATCCCTGGTGCTGGTGGATCACTGCTGCTGTGACCATCTCCCCACCTTGGAGTTGCAGGGAAACCTTGCTATACAATTCTGTGGCTCAAGAATTGCCACAGGAGTGGCCCCGCTCCCCTCCCCCCAACCTGTGTCCTGGGGGTACAGAGAAACGCCAGGGGCCAGAGGATCATGGCTGCAGAAGTTCCTGCGGCTTGGGGTACGGAAAACCTCCAGACCTCGGGGATCACAGCTGCTGGGATCCCTAGAGCCCAGGGATGTGGAAACCTCCAGACCTTGAGGTTTGCAACTACTGGGATCTGTAGAGCTCAGGGCTTTTACTCTGGGCATGGTGAGCCCCTGTGTCTGGGAGCTCTGTCAGCTGATGGGGCTCCCAGCTGCAGGGGAGATCTTGCTATACATGCAAATTAAAGCTCAAAAGCAACCAGCTATGAAGTTGACACATAAAAGTACACATCTTCAAGGTCTAACTTTATAGCTGGCTGGGGCTTTTATTGTGTGATAGCTACTTTGCACATGTAGCTGCTCTCCAGGTAATTGTGCAATTAACCACTTAATTGTGCAATACCTGTAATGTGTAGAGGGGGCATGCGGTATTTTCAGCTGCACCAGAAGCAGAGATTATGACGAGTCTTGCATGTACCATCCAGTTTCATAGACTTTGGAGGTTTGGTTTAGATACAAATGCTTAGATGCTTTGCATGCTTACCTGCCTGAGTTCCAACTGTTTTGAAATTTGTGCCTATTGGATTCTCTCATTGTTGAAATTATGTACAGTAGCTTTGACAGTACTTCTGGGGGACACTCACATAACCTCCTTTTCCATCAGGGTAACACTGATATCTATCATACATATGTATGTAATATTACAGATTTATATGCCAAGATATTTTATAGTCTAGTTTTTCCCATATGCCCTTCTTCAGGGGTCAGCAACATACAGCCTGTGGGCCAGGTCTAGCCCATGGAGTCAGAATGCTTTGCCTCTGACCGCACCTGTGCTGGGGCTGGGCAGCAGGGAGCTGTCCCCTCATAGCCACTGCTTTTCCCTACCTGCCACTTCCTGGTTGCAGTGTGGACATAGCCTCCAGCCATAAGGGCACCCGGGCTGGGCAGTGTATGAAGCAGTAGCAGTGCTGCTATAGTTTAAGTGGAGCTGGCGCAGCTCTGCTCTGGCTGGAATCCCAGCTGAGTAGTGGGGAGCTGGGGAAAATGGTGTCAGCACAGTTCCCATATGCCTGGTCTTACCAGCACAGGTGCAGACAAACACCTGCTTCCATTGGTGCCCTGCTGAACCCACCCCCTGTGCCAGACTGAAGCTGGGTTGTTCCAGTCCACAGCTTGAAATGGATGATGGCCCCTGCTCTTATTAGTTCTGTTGGTTGACAGAGAAAAATCAAATGATTTTTATGTTAAAATGTTGAGTGCCTCCCAAATACAAAAATCTTAATGTTGAGCTTTTTATAATCATATAGATGCAGATCATATGGCTTAAATTAATGTAAGCTATTGATCTTCGTTAGAGAAATCAAACTTTTGTCATGTTAGTACTGTAGCCCTTGTACTGTCATTCATTGTCTCCCCTTACCTAAGAATATTTTTTCACTAATCCATAGTTAGCATTGGCAGTTGCCCTGCCTGGCTGCAGCAGATTTTTCACCACTACCCTTAAATAGTTAGCACTACAGTAAAGGAAATAAGTTCAAGGGTTACTAATGGGTTATGAAAAGTAAATGATGAGAGAAATTACTTCTATTAATAACAAGTGTTGCAGAAAATACAGAATATTTTTGTAAATTCTATTTAAAAATACTGTAGCTAGACTACTTCAAGGGTAGACTGTATTTGTACTGCTCATTTTCACTTCTATTTTCTAATCATTTCTCTGAGCTTCTTTTTCAGAGTTTTGAATAGAAAAATGTATTTCTTGGTTTTGCACGCATTCCAGAAAGAATTATTTTCCATCATTTCTTTCTTTCTTTGAAGCATATAGAAAGTGACAGTCATTTTTAACATTTATTATGCTATACTGCTTCAGACCTTCTATACAGTATTTAAAATTAAAGAATGTGCTTTGCTTCTCAATAATATAATATTAATTCATAAAAAATATGTAGGATTATATCAAAGGTTCTATATGGGGATAAATACATAAAATTAAAGCAAGACTAGAACTAGGAAGTAAAGGATTTGTTTTTTTTAATGGATTTTTTAAAAGGAGTTGCAGCACATGACTTACATTAGACTCTGGGCATGTCTGCACATGTGCATTTAATGCACATTAGCCCAATATAAGGTGCATTAAGGGTGTAGACACACCTTCTGTGTGCAGAATATCACTGACTGATGCACTGCATCTACCAAAATGACTAATATACCTGACACCTAAATTTTAATAGTAGGCATTTTTAGCGTATTAAAAAGTTTCATGCTGGGGGTTACCGAAAAAAGGTGAAAATTCTGGACCCGATTTCTGTTACTATTACATATCAAAAATCGCAGTCATTCTAACTGTTGCACCACTACAGAATGAACTGCTGGTTGGACTTTATTAAAATGTTGTTTGCATTGGAATTCAGAGAAACTGCACGTTCAGATTTTCTTAGCACTTTTTCATTCATGCAGTTCTTGCATCATTTCCTCTATTACCCTGTACCATATTCTCACCAAAGCTTTTCTGCACCTAATGAGAAAGATTTGCAAAGTTATTTTCCTTAAGCACTAGCTATTAGAAGACAGCCAAGGTAATACCTTGTTGGAGGCAAGATTTTTTTCTATAATTTATATTGATTTTTCTTTTTTTAAAAAGAGAAGCTGTCAACAAATGTGAAATGAAGTGTTTTTTTTCTGAAGTGGAAATATGCAGTTTGGAGTCTTGTTACAGAATTATGAAAAATCAGCAATGGAAGCAGTAAAAACCATAGCTCTCATCCATACCTCAAACCATTGATTTTCCTCTCTTTGGTGTGACTATTCTTATCTTTTCATTACATTCTATGATTTATTTTTCCTTGTTTTGCCTTAAGTTTTACATGTTCTGTTTTTACAGGATTTACTGGCACCCTGCTGAAAATGTATTTGAAGATGTGACTCTGTTCACTAGAGTGCCTTAAAAATAATTCTGGAAGTGCCTTGAACACTGGAACATATACTAACTGTTAATCTTGTCCAAGAAGAGAGACATGGACACTTGTCCATTATGCTAATCTGAAGTAATGCATATTGCCTGCCCAGGGGGAGTGTTTTATATTTAGGACAAAAGCCAGATATCTTTGCACCTGTGCAATATTTTTTCAGTCACATTAACACTTTACATGTTACTTACTTATGGTTTTTAAGAAGAATTAAAGTAATGGTAGATGCTAAAATGGATTTTCTTTTTGTGGTAAATCCTCTACCATAACACTGTAAGAGCTTTCCATGTTAACTCCCTAGTGTAAGGCGGGGTAAATTTGTATCTTATAGGGCAGGGGTGGGCAAAATGCGGCCTGGGGGCCGGATGCGGTTCGCCAGGCCGTTCTGTCTGGCCCATGGGGCTCCTAAAAAAATTAGGAAATTAATATTTATCTGCCCTGAGATGCCTGTCATGTGGCCCTCGATGGCTTGCCAAAACTCAGTAAGCAGCCCCCTGCCCAAAATAATTGCCCGCCCCTGTTATAGGGTAACTAAATCCCTGTCTCCCTGCATGCTATTTCTTCAGTACTTAGGAGCACCAGAGTGCAAAAGGAATAAACGCAGGCTTGCATGCTTGCCGTAAGGCTCTGAAGAGTTAATCTCTTTTCTGTTCTTCTCTGGCTGTCTTCCCTGGTTGAATTCTTACTAAATTTAGGATTTGGTAGTAGACTGTTTAGAAGTTTGACTACGTCACAAGTTCGCTAGAACCAGGTTTTTTCATGGGAAATTGAACTGAACTTTTTCTTTTTCTTTTCAAAGAACTTCTTTGTGTGAGCTTACATCATTGTCCTTAGATAATGCTTAGCCTTTCTTTCTTTTCTATTCTCTTCCACTTCATCCCACCAAGAATATTATTGATGTTACTGTCACATTTCATTAACTATTTTTTTTACCCATTTTTAGTATTTAATAGTTGTCCCTAATGTGAAAAACTTAGACCAGGCATTTCATGTTAATGTAGCTAAACAGTTCCAAGATTTTTTTCATAATTATAAAAGGGTAAATGCAGAAGCATATTGCTTCATAGATCATTGTCTTCTGCCTGAGTTTTTCTTAAGTATTTATGAAGAAGCCTTATTTTAGTGTGTATTACATGAATTGAGCACAACTTTAATGTTGATTCTTTCCTAATGCTTTCTTTAACAGATGACTCTTCAGCTCCTGAGCAGCCTCAGATGAACTTCTCCAGTCAGGTGATGTTGGTTCAGGAAACCCTTTCATCTGTCTCGCAATTTGGAAAAAACCCTGTAAAGACCAGTGAAGTAGAAACAGCAAACTTGTCCCCTAGCCTGATTCCTGCCCAACAGCCCACCATATCACTAATCTCAGATGACAATACAGATGCACTGAGCGTAGAGTCACTTACACTGGTCCCACCAGTTGACCCACACAGCATTCATACTTTCAGCTGCATTCCTCAGTCTTCTTTGCAGTCAGAAGTTTGCAGAGTGACAGAGTTAGAAGAGTGCTCTGACCAGAGTCAACCAGCAGACCATGATGAGCAGTGAAGAGAAGGCAACTGATATTTTTCTTTGGCAGGGCTGATGAAACTTAGCAAGCCTCAAAGACGACATGATCCACAAGTAGAGGCCCTCTGATAAATAGCTCTAAATTTAAAGTATGGGCAGCTTTTTAAAATAAATATTCAGCATTTTTAAGTTGAAAGAAATCTGGTTAGATTTCCTGGCATGATACTTCCTGTTCTTATATAAAAGCAAGAGAAACTGACTATGAAAGGTACTTCAGAAGTATCTAGTTTCTTCATACTACATGAACCATGTTATCTGCAGAATCTGTACTGTATTATACTGAAGTGAAGAAACCTCATTAGGATGCCTTGGCTTCATGATATTTTATCACTGCTTCTCTGAAAACAGGCACGGTATTTCTAGAAAAAAAAATATAGTACAAGAGATGCTGTTTCTATTTGAGACACGTTTTCTAAATTGTTGTTCTCCAGCTTTTGAAAGTTTGGCACGGGCTGTATTAAAAAAAGCAGACTTGGCTATTTTCAGTATTGTATTCATAAGATTGTAAACTTTATTATTGTGTCCGCTGTGTATATTATTTATTTCAGTGTCTGAGTCACAACAAGATCCATATCTATCAAAGATATTTTTAATTAAGCATAACTCTGATGTTTGGCATAACAATTAAAAGGCTTATTCAGGTTAATAAAAGGGATTTTTGAGTAGTCTCATGTACTTTGTTGGAGAATTATCTATACGGGAATGTGAAATATTTTAAAATGCAGAATTTCTACAGTATAAATGATTGCTTTAGTTTTTGTTCTCTTCTGACAGTCAAATTGCAACACATCTGAGGTATGATGAAATCACTTGTGAGAAGAAATAAGAGCTTTTATTTAATTCTACGTATGATTTTTTTCTAAGTTTCCATCTCCAGTGCAACAGGAAAGCACCTTGTACAACAAACTATACTTACTTTGGAAGGGTGAAATTCAAAAGGGAAGGCATTGATTTTTCTGTCTAACTCCAATCAGTCATGATGTTAATCAAATGAAACTCTTTTGAATGTGATCTTGACCTGATGGCTGCCTGTTTTTGCTTGTAGATCATAATACTGAAAATATTGAAGACTTTAGGTAGTATAAAAATCAGCAGTGGTTTGGCATGTTCTTTGTTAAATTAATTCATACCCTAATGGAATTCAAGTTTCCTCCTTATTGTTAATTTAAAGTGGTAGTAAAACTTTCAAGGAGTAATTATTGCTCCATAGATCACATTAGAAATCCTCCCAAGCTCTCAAAAGTTAACAGCCATTTGTTTCACTCTTATTTTATCCATCAACATAGACAATGTGTCAGATCCTGTCCTCACTGAAATCAGGAAGAGAGCTTGATTTCAGTAGTAATATAACTGGACTCCAAACTTACACATTTTAAGTATCTGTGTCTATATTCAGACTCACTGTACAATTTATATCTGTCCAACTCTTAGTGAAGAAATACATAAGCTGAATGTTGTTGTTTTTTTAAGTTTGTATTTGTGTGTGACACCAAATAGTCCTAAGTGTATATGTGGTTTCACTTTTCCAGTGTGTTTTCTTTATGAATTAGGTTACTGTTGACAAAATGTATGTATAAAGAATGTGTCAGGAGTTGTGGCAGATCAAGTCAGTATTCACTCCAGATTCAGCTTTTGTACACTGTCCTGTTGAAGCCCCTAGGAATAAATGGGAGTAGGCATTGAACTTGTGTAATGGAAGGTCTGATTCTACAAGTGTGATACAAACCCCAAAGGAAAGGAGAGTTGGGGGTTTTCGTTGCTATTTTCAAAGGTGGGGCCAGACAGATCAGAAGATAGCACACCCATATTTCTTAGGCCATTCTTAGGGTGTGTTCACGCACACGTTGCTGTGTCTAAAGTTCATCAAAAATATATTGATTAAAATGAAAATAAAATAAAATAAATGTCTGCTGGCATGGCTCTGTAGGTTAGGGGTGTGGTGAGGAGTGGTCTCTAAAGACACTGACAGACGTGCAGGTCCCCGCTCTAACTCATGGCACTTTACATAAAGCTACTGCTGGCTTTCCCCTCCCCCCCCCCCCCCCTCCGCCCACCCCCCGGCCTCCCTGCGGACACCCCCGGGGCTGGAGCTGGGCTACATCAGCCCAGCCCTGACTGTATGTCAAATTAACCCTAGGGAGCACAAGTTCCATAAGGTGCTCTAAAGTAGAGCAGTTCATCTGATGCCGCATTTGAGGAGGGTTTATTTTTCACGCAATCGGCCACTTTAAAAGCTCTCTGCAGCTGTGCACATGTCACAGCATGGCTATAGAGTGCTTTCAGGGGGATGCTTCCACGAAAAATATAACTTCTGTCTGCACCCAAATACATCTGTGCTGGCTAAAGCACCTATATGTAGTTAAGTTTGCAGAACTGCTTTTGCCAACCTAAGTTGTACCCAGCCTCTGAGTGTTTACTGGCATAGCTATAAGTATACATCATAAATCCATCCTACATGACTAAATCACTGTATCATGCAAACAACAAATTGTTCAAGCTTCTTAATTCTAATATTAAAATATATTAATAAAAATTGACAATGCTTAATGCTGCCTTAGGAGAGTTCACATGGTAGAATTCCAGGAGGAATTGAAACATCAGTGGTTTGAAAATCTCTTCATCTCTTTACTGTTACTCATCTGCTGTTCCTTGAAGAGAATCGTATCTGTCTTTCTCTTATCAGAAAAACTTACAAGCTACTTCCTTAGTCCCTTTCACTGTAAAAAGGAAGCGCAACCAAGAAAGCATTAGCACATCAGCCACAAATTAATTTTCTTATAAACAAAAATGGATTGAATCGGTGCGACCTCACTGTTTTCTTAACAGATCAAATGGCAAGTTGCTAGTCACAATGTTCTTTGACTCGGTATTTTCAGTGTAGTTCTCACAGGTGTGGGGCTGGACAAGAATTGTTATAGAAATAGCACATTCTCGTACAGCCAAAAACAAAATACTGAATCTGAAAACACTCACATACTGCGGATTGATCTATGCCGAGCTCAAAACATGTTTTTAGGGTTCTTGCTTGACTGCAAACTAGACAAAGCCCTATGAATTATTCTTCTCTCGTGGACAAGGCAAACCAAAGGAGTCAGTGGCATATCGAACATATCTTTTGTTCTTTTCTAGTCCATGGGTTTCCTGTTACAGATTTGATGAAACACAAGATGTTACAATTTTAATGAGAGCTATTTACCCTTCCTCGGACCTGTTCCATGCTTTCTCCTTTTCTTTCTGCCCCAATGCTCTCCTAGTCTAAATACTTTTCAGTGAATAGAAAGACTGAACTTTAGAATTTGGGATGGGCCAACCCTGGATTAATATTCACAGTTTAGGTAGTGATTTATGTAAATCCTGCGCATGGCAGTGAGAGAACAGAGAATGTGTTCCTTTGCAGATTTAGTTCTGAAGTGTCACTGCTATCTTACGTGTGCAGAGTTTTAAAATATATTGAAGGTTATAATGGTTTGGTTATAGCAAAATCGGCAGTAGCCAGAAGGTTTTAAAAGTTGTTATAATCTTTTTAATTAAGCAATAGGATGTGATTAGATGCCATTCCAACACTGTTGTGGAAAGTGACCTTGGATGATTACTTTCAACCATTCAAGAAATTCAGTAGTTGCCCTGTAATTGAGTGTAATTTTGCTAATAGGAATTGAATTTTATTTCTAAAATAAGGGAAACTAATAAAAGCATATGTGTAGGTTAGATAGCAGTCCATTAGATCAAAGAATTTTGAAACCATTTCATAAAATTCAAACTTTACCCATGTTTGCTGTAATATGTGTTTCCTGTGATCTTTTATAGTCAGTCTGAAGTTGCTGTAAGCACTTGTTCTTACTGGTAAATAAGTATGAGTAACGTAATTTGTAGGTTACCTACAACCTAAACCAAAGTGCACTTGTCAAAGTATGAATGCAGGTTGCAGCCTTTTTATTATATGGTGACATGCAGCATTCAGTGATTTCATAATAGGTTCCCCAGTTATTAACATGGATTAGCAAAATTCTAATATAATGAATTATAATATATGACTTCTGTTCAAAACGTATTTTTAAACCATTCCAATGATTGTCTGGCTGGTCTGTGCATGTCATTTAACACAACAAATGAGTCTGTATAAAGTTCCTTGATTTAACTAAACAACCACACAAGGCTTAATGAGTGTAAGTAATGATTAATGGTATTTGCTTCATTCAAATTGTCTTTTGAAGAAAATTATAGGAAGTTAAATAAGGTACAGGCTGGTACATTGTGTTCTCAGCATTGGCTTAAGATAAGGAGTCCTTTGAGTCTTATTCTCTTCTGCAGTTGGCCTTGAGATAGTCCTTTACACTATTCCACAGTAATGCTCAGGTGTAAATGACTGTGCAAAAACTGAGATGGAGAACATTTGGCTCTGTGCATAAATGGTCCTTACCTCGTATGTGAATATAAGGACTAATTGCAACTGAAATATTTATAGTGCACATGAAGATAATTTAGAGGCCAGAACTGAGTAAGGCTTTACCTTCTGCAAACAATGGATGATTCCCTTGAAGCCCTGAAAGCCTGGCTTTTCCATATAACTGTATTTAAATCTAAGACAACTTTTGAATTTCAAACAACCTCCCAATAATTAAATTCTAGACATAGGAAAAGTATGCAGTAGTTATAAATCTCCATGTAGAAAATCTTATTCAAGGATCATCTTAAATTTTCCCCCCTCACCACTGCCATGGGGAAAGTGTTAGCAGGGAGGAGTCAGAAGATTCTGGCACCTGCCCTCCGCCCCTCCCACCCCCCCTTGGTGTCTGTGCTTCCACCATGTACACCATGCCCCAGGCCAGAGAGGGGCAGAAGCCAGAGGAATGACTGAGGGTAAGCAGTGGTGAGGGAGAAGGTGGCAGCAGCTGCAGCTTTGACTCTGACCCAGAGGCCAGATCAGAGCTAGAGCCATAGCTGACCAAATCCTCTGCCTTTTACTCAAATCCAAGATGGGGGACTTTTTACCCCATGTTGAATGGGGGGGGTCCCCTATCTTGGATTCAAGTAAATACAATATCATGTAATAGTCTTTGAAACTATTGCATCTTCAAGGAACCCCAGAGGAGTATTGCATCTTCAAGGCATAATTTAAAACCTTTTTGCCTGCAAAGATTTGGCTTTGTGACTTTTATTTAATTGGGCTGCAAACATTTTGCTTTATTTCATACCATTTTGCTGCTTAGAAAGTATATCGGAAAGCACTCTGAACACAAAGTACTGTCCTCTTATGAAATATAATTTAGTAACCTTATCTATGAACTGTACTTGAATTGAAAAAAAAAATTTAAAGTAGGTTTGGACATGCACTATATTTTAAACTCCAAACCCAGGGTGAATTTAGCTCTAAAATGTCTTTTCTACATGCAATATAGGTAAACTATTTAGTGTAGCTTATGTTAAACATTTTAAATAAATGTGAGAGTACATTTTGTTCATTTAAATTGAAGGGAAAATATATCTGGAGAGGAGTGAACTTAAGAAAATGTTGTATGTATCTGAAACTATTCAGTTTTTACAGTTGAGTCTATATTTGTTGATATTAATCATGAATCATTGCTATTGAACACCTGAACCGGAATAAACAATGCAAATTTTCCTTGTAAATGGGAGTTGGCAATAAAGAAGGTGTTACCAGAATCTTTCCTTCTCATTCATGTTCTGTTACTGAGTTTATGGAAGTGCATACAGCCCCAGCATGCAGCCTCATTGTTCCCTTTTCAGATGCTTGCTTTAATAAGGCCAATGAGCTGTGTGTGTGTGTGTGTGTGTGTGTGTGTGTGGCAAATGTGGAAAGAACAAAGGCCAGTAGAGGTGGGAAGCAAAAGTCAAAGGATACCGAACAAGGCTGAGCTGTATTTCAGATGGCAGTCAGACACTTTGTTTGCAATGGTTCTTTTTGGCTGACTAATATGACTGCTTCCCCAAATGCATCTCTGCACCCCTCTGGTGTGACTTACCAGGTTTGAGTATGGATGAAGTCCAAGTGAAGTATTGGGTATATTGTTAATTAGCCAGTCTTTCCTTGGAGAACTATTAGAGAGCACACCCACCCTGCAGAACATTCTTTCTCAAGCCAGGCATTGCTCCAGAAGAGTCTTACAAGAAATTAAATCATGTTGTACCACAAAGTGAGCTAAATAAATAAATACATGCATACACACATACGCACGCACATATATACATATGTGTGTGTGTGTATACACGCAGATAAATATATGCACGCACAAAGACGCACACTTTTTGGGAGGAATCCCTCCCACTAAATTCTTCTGTATGAGACTCTGAAAGTACTATCAAAATTAATCCCATGCTTAGATGAAACAGGCAGCGTTATTCTTGTGTTTGAAGATGGACATCAAGGCAACAACAGGTTAAGTGATAAATGTGTGAGGTGGAGTCAGGAGGTTCTGGCTCCAGTCTTTAGACCATTCTGTCACATTATACTTTATTTCAGTATAGTTGGTTTCCTAAGTGTAATAAGGTATTCTAATATTATAAAAGCCTTAATTTGACAAACAGGCAATCAGTGTGAAGAAGCGTTCAGACAGGAGGCTACACGCTGCCATGATGGTGGGGACACGGGACAAGAGTGAGGGGTGAGGCCTCGCCCCCTGCCCTGCTCCCTGGAGACGACAGCAAGGGAGTGGATGGAACGGGGGGGCGAGGCCAGCAGCGCTAGCTTCTCCCCCTGCCCCGCTTCCTGCAGATGGTGACGATGGAGCGGTGGGGGGGCGAGGCCACTGGAGCTGGCCTTGCCACCCCCTTACTCCTTGCAGGTGACTGAAGTGGGGACACAGGGGGGAGCGGGATTGGGATTGGGATGTCATGGAGGGGGTGAGGCCACTGGCTCTGCCCTCAGCCTGCCCCTCCCCACTTCTATCACCACCACCTGAAGGCCCCATGCAGTGGCAATGGGGGGAATAGTGGGCATGCCACGGCAGCACCGGTGGGGGGAGGGGAGGAGTGGCCCCAGGCCCAATGCAGAGGAGGACCAGGCCTGAGGGTGGGGAGAAGTCATGCTGCTGCTGCAGGGGGAGCAGTGGGCCCGGACCCCAAGCAGCAGGAGGAAAGGGGGGAACAGGCCCAGATGGGGGGAGGGGGGGCAGGCCACGGGGCTCCATCCCTGCCTGCTCCCTGCCCCCCCCATCATTCTTGATGGACAATTGGCTACTTGCAGTATAAGCTCCTTTGGACTGAAATAACGGTTGGCACATGGGGTTTATACACATCTAAGTATTTTGATAGGAAAAACGCCATCCTAAGTCTGGTCCCGGCTCTGGTGCGAGATGTGCGGGTGTAAGCCCGCTGCACCCCTGTGAGCCCAGGGACCCCCAAAGGAGCCCCCAGAATCCCCGAAGACGGCCTGCCCACAGGTAAGCAGGGGCCCGTGGAGGGAGGGACCTGGCCACCTTAGCCAGCTGGGACGCGGCTGAGGCTGAGTCAGAGGTGGGGAGGGACATGCCCCCTCGGCTCCTACTTGGCCCAGCCCCCAGGGAGCCGCGCAACCGGGCTGCCAGCGCGCGAGCCAGGTTAGGGGGAAGGGAGGACTCACCCGTTCCTTCCCTCGGTGGGGGGGAGGGACACCCTAGCCCCCCAAGACTAGCGAGGCACCAGCCGGCCCTTCTGCGCATGCGTGCAGTTTGAAAAGGGCCCAGCAACGGCACAAGCCTCAGTCTGGTCCTGGCTCTGGTGTGAGGCGTGGGTGTAAGCCTGCTGTGCCCCCATGAGCCCAGGGACCCCAGAAGAGCCCCCAGGACCCCTGACAAGCCTGGCCTGCCTGCAGGTAAGCAGGGCCCCGTGGAGGAAGGGACCTGGCCACCTTAGCCAGCTGGGAGCTGGCTGAGTCAGGCGGGGAGGGACATCCCACCACCCCCCCCGGGCTCCTACTTTGCCCAGCCCCACGGGAGCTGCGCGAACAGGCCATGCAAAACAGGCACGCTCCTAGGCCAGGCACACGAGTTAGCGTGGAGTTTGCATGGGAGGGCCCAAGGCCCTACCTGTGAGCCCCCCTAGGGAACCCAGTCCCAGCTGTAGCCAGCCCACCAACGGTATGACACGAATGGGCACACGCCGTACCCCAAGGGTCCCCGAGGCGTCTGCGCCCCCCACCCTTCCCACCTGGCTCCTCAGAGGTCTCCACCTAGACGGAGCCCATGGTTCAGGGCTCCATGCAGGCGGAGCCCCTGGCTCTCAGCTGCAGGGGCTGCCTGTCACTTTTTCAGGTTCTGGGGTCTGGGAGCATGGCCACCTCCCCTTGTGAGGTCTGCTGGCTACTGGGGTCTCTGGCATGCCACCTGGCGGAGCTCCAGGCCGCAGTCCAGAGACTATGCGCCATCGGGGACTGTGAGCAGGAGACTGAATCCTACTGCCAGGTCCTTCCCCACTGGGAGGCAGAGGGTAGACCACGGTCTCCCTCCAGGACAAGGGAGGACTTGAGGACCTCCCATGCTGTCCAGTCCAGGGGTTGGACCAAGGTGGTCATGGGCCCCAAGGCCTGCTGCACCAAGGCCCCTGCCCCGCTGGAGCTTTGCAACAGGTACAAACCTCTTGCAGCCACAGATGCACCTTCTAGGTTGCCAGCTCCCGCAGGCAACACAGGCTGTACTGCAGCTACCAGCCCCACTCTCCCCAAGACAAAACAAAGTGTTTGTCATGGGAGACTCCATCCTGAGGGGGACTGAGGGGGTAATTTGCTGCCCTGACCCCTTAGCCTGGGAAGTTTGCTGCTTCCCAGGAGCCCATATCCAAAATATTGTGGAGAAAATCCTTAAACTCCTCTGGCCCGCTGACCACTAACCTATGCTCCTCATCCACATGGGCACCAATGACACGGCTCGGAGCGCTCCCAGCTGAGTCATGAAGTGCTACAGGGATTTGGGAGCCGGGCTAAAGGGTCTGGGGGCACAGGTGGTGTTTTCTTTGATCCTTCCAGTCTCGGGCTTGTCACAACCCAAAATTGTGGATTTTTTAATTGTGTGCGCTTCGGCACCGCTAAATTATGTTCCCGCCGAATTGGAGCTCTTTTGCACGACGGAGTGTTCTGTTGTTATGGAAACCCGCGTGCAGAAAAGTGTTTCCCGCCGTTCTGTAGCCTTCTTTGCATTGTGCATTTTTGTTAATAGTCTTTCAAAGCAGGAATATTTGTGCAAACCACTGGCTTTCTCCAAAGTGCTTAGGATTAGACAAATTGACATTTTCAACCAAAACTTTTTTTTTTAAAGACATGTGACCAACTCTGGAATGAGATCCTAGGCCTGGATTCCTAACCTTTCCTTAACTTAGACCCATTTCTATGCAGAAACACCAGATCATGTTACCGTTGGCATTCCCACTGTGGTACACAGATGCTCTACTCCCAACTTAGTAATTACCTGAGTTCTCATGGCGGTACAAGGACACACTGAAGGCACACCTCAAGAAAACAGATGCCAACATCAAAAGCTGGGAGAAGCTGGCTCCAGACCAACTCCAGTGGCGCTGCAACCCTCAACCAAGTGGCAGCCCATTTCACGGTAAAGCATCTAATGATCCCTAAACTCCTCCAGCCCACTGACCACTACCCTATGCTCCTCATCCATGTGGGCACCAATGACACAGCTCGGACCACTCCCAGCCGGGTCATGAGGCGCTTCAGGGATTTGGGTGCGGGGCTTAAAGGTCTGGGGGCACAGGTGGTGTTTTCTTTGATCCTCCCAGTCTCGGGCTATGGGCTGAGGAGGGAGAGGAGGATCCAGGTAATCAACCAAAGACTGTGGCGCTTGTGTCATTGGGAAGGCTTTGGCTTCCATGACCATAGTCTGCTCTTTGGAGAGAGAGGCAGCGAGCTACTGGAAAGGGACGGTCTCCACCTCTCTCCGCTGAGGAGGAGGTTCTTCTCAGCCAGACTGGCTGACCTGCTCCACTGGGCTTTAAACTAAGCCTGCCAGGGGATGGGGAGACTACCGCCACTGCTGGCCTGCTCAGCAACCCTTGCAAAGTCAGCAGACCAAGGCACTTAAGGGAGCCCACCCCTGCCCCAGCCCTGGAACAAACTGTAGGCAAGGCCAGGGCCCCCAAGGGGACACGTGTCTGCCTATATACAAATGCCAGGAGCTTGGGGAATAAACAGGAGGAACTTGTTCTCCTGCTAAATGTAAATAACTATGATGTCATAGAGATAACGGAGACCTGGTGGGACTTCACCCATGACTGGACCACAGGTATAGATGGCTATACCCTGTATAGGAGGGATCGAGCGGACAAAATGGGCGGGGGTGTAGCTCTCTCTGTCAAGGAAAGCTACGCGTCCCTGCAAGCCGACATTGCACCCACAGTGGAAGACTTGAGACCCTCTGGGTTAAAATCCATGGGGAACACAGCACGGGATACTATGGTGGGAGTCTACTACAGACCCCCTACCCAGGATCAAAACCTTGACCAGGAGTTTGCCAGGGAATTGGCTGAGGCCGTGCGCTCCCGGTGTATGGTTGTCATGGGAGACTTTAACTACCCAGACATCTCATGGGAGGAGCACTCGGCCAAATCCGAGCAGTCGCAAACCTTTCTCTCATGTATGGATGACCTCTATCTAATGCAGGAAGTTTATGGGCCAACGAGAAGTAAAGCGCTGCTCAACCTGGTACTGGCAACC